AATATTATATGAATCCAACACACCTGGTTAACGCCAAGCATCGTGCAAAGTGGAACATGGATTAATGTGAAGCCTGTTGTATAAACACCATAGAAACCTGAGAAGTCATATTGACATCTCACTGCCTTCATTCCAGCTATCTGATCTGGTTTTAAAGTCAGCTTCCTCCTCAATTGAGGACAGGAGTGTCCAACCTTGACAACTTTAAGACTTATGGATTTCAAGTGTATGTATGTATGTATGTATGTATGTATGTATGTATGTATGTATGTATTTATTTATTTATTTATTTATTTATTTATTTATTTATTTATTTGGACTCAAGGCGGTGTACAGTCAAGAAAAATATAGATACACAAACATCATAAAATTGCTAATTAAAATTATTATTATAACATAGTTTGGCCCAATTAAATAGAACCTAAAATTAGATAACATTTTAAAAACATTCACATGTTCATATTTTTAGCCCTGCTTGTTGCCAGTGTGGCTGAAGAATTCTGGGAGTTGAAGTCCACAAGTCTTAAAATTGCCAAGGTTGGACACCCTTGCTTTAGGATAACTGGCTCCATCAAAGAGTTGTCTAGAACATGAGTCCCCAACCCCCGTGAAACCACATCCCCTCTGGTCCGCAGAAAAACCTCTCCATGGAATCAATCTCTGGTTTACGACACAAAGCTTTATCTTCCAACAGAAGAACAAATCAGGCAGAAGATCTCCTTCATCCATCCTAGGAATGATCATCCAGCAGGCCCAAGGAGCATTAAAACTCTTGTTCAGTTGTACCTTTGTGGGAACCATACCAAACTGGTACAGTATTCCTTTGGTACTTGAAGAGTATTTGAAGAGACCACCAGAAAATCCAAGGGCTGTACTGTATTGAATTTCACTGGTGTAAAATGAGGAAAATAAATCACAAAGAATAGCAGTGCAACAGTTTCATTTCGTTGCCACGTGTTCATTTCGAACCCACGTGGGTTCAATTCACAGGAGTCCTTCATTCTTTCAATGGAGCTGTCAAGTCTGCAATTATTGGTAGATTTATGCAAGGTGGAAGGAGAGAAAGGCAATGAAGACCTGGCAGCCGATGTTTAAGCATTCTGGCTTAGAGACAAATCATAGCGATGACTCATCAGCTAGACACAAATGTTGGGTAACTTTATCAGGAGCAATACGCAGCAACCTTATTTGACAGGACATTACTTAATTTGTACCTGGTCATAGCTGGGCCACTTTAACCAACTTTCTAGATGTCTGTGATACTACAGTAAAATCAGCCAACATTCTTCTGATTTCCATTTCTGTTCTGTGAGAATATTTAGAAAACAATGAGCAATGAAGACCAGACCTTTCTCAGATTTACCAATTTCTTTATAAAATCATCTTTTTACAGGAACTGTTGTCTAAATATTTGTCATGTCAGAATACGTTGCAGTTTTGCCTTTAATAGTTCCTGTGGCAGGGGTGAAATCCAGCAGGTTCTGACAGGTTCTGGAGAACCGGTAGCGGAAACCTTGAGCAGTTCGGAGAATCAGTAGCGGAAATTTTGAGTAGTTCGAAGAACTGACAAATACCACCTCTAGCTGGCCCCAGAGTGGGGTGGGAATGGAGATTTTGCAATATCCTTCCCCCAGGAGTGGGGAGGGAATAAGGATTTTGCAGTATTCTTCCCCTGGAGTGGGGTGGAAATGGAGATTTTGCAGTATGCTTCCCCTGGAGTGGGATGGGAATGGAGATTTTGCAGTATCCTTCCCTTGGAGTGAGGTGGGAATGGAGATTTTGCAATATCCTTTCCCCAGGAATGGGGAAGGAATGGAGATTTTGCAATATCTTTCCCCCAGGAGTGGGGAGGGAATGGGGATTTTGCAGTATCCTTCCTCTGGAGTGAGGTGGAAATGGAGATTTTGCAGCATCCTTCCCTTGCCATGCCCACCAAGCCATGCCCACCAAGCCATATACCTAGGTAGGTGGGTATAGATTTTTAAAATTAATTCCTCACCAGTTCCTGTTAAAATCTGGCCCAATTCTGTTAATTCTTTATAAAAACCATATATTTTAGCATCTTTTTCAAATCTTGATTTTATTTGTACCTGCGGAGAGGTGGCCCCTTCTTTATAGAACATCATTCCTCCTGAGGTATGGTTACTCCCATTCTATTGCTTTTTCTGAAAGGCCCTAAAATTGTGGCTTTGTTGGTGGGTCCAGGGATCACAAACAGAGATGCAGTGGCTAATTTGATTATGTTGTTGCTGCCTTAGGAGGGGGTGAATATTTTTAAAAACATTATAAGCCACCTGGTGTCACCTATGTATGAATTAGGCGGCAATATACATTTGTTTAATAAAAAATAAATAAAACCTGTGTGCAAACCTGTGTGGTGTATGAACCCAGTTGTCAGCACTTCAATCTGCATTTACTCTAGTGCTGACATAAGAAGGAGAAGAGGGGGCAGCTGGCAAGAGGACGCTTGACTTCTCACCTACTTATTTTCCCTGAAGATAATGTCCCCTAGGAGATGAGATGGGAGGGGGGGGACATTCCTGGGAGCTGAAGTACTAGATATGGGGAGAGTGATTTGGAAGAGGGCCAATGAGATGCCGAGAATTGGGGAATGGAAAGGGAAGGTTTGGGGTCAGGAAGTCAGTATTGGCTACGCCACGATCGGGGACAGGTCATCGTGCTTAATAAAATGAAAGATTTCTTCAAAGATTACTTGTTTGGAAATGCAATTTATTTTAATTAAGACGACCTTGAAACCTGACACCAGTTTTGTGACTTGTCATGGGGGATCCTTTCTGGATGCCAAAATTATTTAATTTGATTTTATTCTATTTTTTAAATTTTGTATTGTATGTGTTTTTATTGTTTGGCTGTGCACCGCCCTGAGTCCTTCGGGAGTAGGGCGGTATAGAAATCTAATAAATAATAATAATAATAAAAAAAATAATAATGTTTCTTCCGTGATAGCAAATACTTTAGCTTGAGCTGCAATGGGACGCATTGAATTGAAATGCCAAAGAGTTCAGTGACTTTGAGCACCTTTTGCTCAATACCACCGTGTCTTCCTGTCCTGACCTTGGGAAGCTAAAATTTAAGCTAATCTCTTCAAAACTCTGCTGTATGCACAGAATGGGGGGGAGAGAAGGCACCGATGTGCACGCTTGCTCTTACAGGAAATCAGGGTCTTGGGAGTCTCCTTAAATCCAGCGGTCACAATTTGGAGTGTCTCACAGAAAAATGCAGGTGCCACTGCAAAATGCCATCATTATTTATTTCTGCTTTTTTTTTGTAAGCTGCCCAGTGGCACAGTGTTGGAACTGAGCAGCCATGCATATTTCTTAAATAAATACAATCGTAATCATGCTGTCCAAATCCTACTATTTATTTAGCAAATGGTAGAGCAAGTCAGCAAAGATATAGTAGTGCCAGGAGATCGTTGAATCGAAGTCCGAAAAAATATCTGTGAATATTTGCAGTCTAGGCCTGAGTGATTCCATTCACTCATCATCCTAAACCTGTGATGGCGAACCTATGGCACACATGCTGGAAGTGGCACGCAGAGCCATCTCTCCGGGCATGCCAGCTGTCGCCCGTTCCTCTTCTGGGTTTCGGCACGCACATCCACACCGGCCAACTGGTTTTCACGCACGCAGGAGCGCTGGAAACCAGAAGACCAGGTGACCGGCGCACATGTGCACGCTGGAAACCGGAAGCTTAGCTCATGTGCGCTGGGAAACTGCTCTTCTGGTTTCTGGTGCTCCTGTGTGTACGTGCTGGGGAGCTGCTCTTCCGGTTTCTAGAGCTCCCCCCCGTGTGTGCACGCATTTCCTTTTCGGCACTTGGTGCCAAAAAGGTTCACCAACACTGTCCTAAGCTATGGTGTCAAGTTTCCGAAAGATGCCCTAATTAATTCATGAGCCATGATCCAAACTTCAAAGGAAATATAGTCATTTATTAGGAGCACCATTCCGGCAATACTGGGATGCAGTCAGGACTGATCCTGCGTAGATTTATGTTCCCCTATGACCCTGTCTCTCCCCTCCTCTCTGGCCATGGCATAAATCACATTCTCCAATTAACCACTTTGGCTGGCTGTGAAACCTAACACCCTCCTTCTGATTGCGGTCAGAAAGAATGTATGGAATTCACTTCAGTTCTCCCTCCCTCCTGCTCATGGCAACTTGAAAGCTTTGCAAGTTGACATATGGCTTATTTCCATTGTATTCTCATAAATGAAGGCAAATATACATCTCCCAGGATAATGTTGAAGGATCCAATCTGGATTGGTCACCAGAACTAGAGGTTTAGTCTTCCAAACTTTTGGACTCGTGCGTGCCAATCACCTGGTCTTCCGGTTTCCAGCGCTCCTGCAAAAGCAGGAGCGCAAAGCACATATTCCGACAGAGAGAAGTTCCCCTCTCCAGCACGAGTTCAAAAGTTTGGAGGATTAAATCTCTGGTCCCAGTGACCAACCCAGATTGGATTCTGCAATATTAACCTGGGAAATGTATATTTGCCTTCATTCATGAGATTGGATCCATTGTGTTCTGTTGAATCAGCTACAGTGGTTGGGTTTGCGCATAGTGCTAAGCCATAAACCACGGTTTATAAATCACGGTGTCTGGTTTTATGCCACAGGGAGATGGCAAGCAGCAGCCACATAAATATTTCGTTTTGGTTTAGAATCTGATAACAATTCAGGTCTAATTATTGTGGTTTGTAAGTCATGATTTATGGTGGCTTTGATTTGAGCCCTTGGGCCCCCCATGCACCCCTTGCAAGCTTGGGAATGACTTTCAGAATTGTTCCACAGTAATTACCAACTTGTAACATTTCCTGAAAGTAAAAGGGAAATAGATTGAATATTAACTGGAAACTAATCATTTTGACTACAGTAGATTTAACTTTAATTCAATATTGTTCGAGGTGAAATAGAGCCCAATTTAACCATTCACCTGATCCCACCCATTGGGTTTAAGAATGTGAATCGCACTCCAAAATACACACTTCATCCTGTTTAATAGTGTAGTATTATACAGCACGGGAGTCCTCCTACTGTGGTTTACAGGCAGTCCTCGAATTACAACCACAGTTGGGATCAGAATTTCTGTTGCTAAGCAAAGTGGTTGTTAAGTGAGTCATGTCCAATTTTATGATCTTTTTTGCCACGGTTGTTAAGTGCATGATGTGGTTGTTAAATGAATCGGGCTTCCCCTACTGATTTTTCTTCTCGAAAGCCAGCTGGGAAAGTGGCAAATAGCAATCACAGGATGTTGTAACTGTGATGAATATATACAGGTGGTCCTCAACTTACAATGGTTCATTTATTGACCGTTCAAAGTTACGAGGGCACTGAAAAAAAGTGACTTACGGCAGTTTTCCACACTTATGACCGTTGAAGCATCTCCATGGGCACGTGATCAAAATCCAGATGCTCGGCAACTGAGTCATACTTACAAGGATTGCCGTGTCATGTGATCCTTTTTTCCAACCTTCTGACAAACTGTTCTGCCCCAGCTACCGACCCCAAAGAACGCAGCACACACAAAAACTATACAAAGATTATTTTACTCAAATAACTCAGTCTTTTGCAACCAAAGGCTATTAATAAACTTCCTTAACAGCCTACAAGCATTCTAAGATAACATAATCACAGTCTTACTAGAGTTGGCAGAAAGCCCAGAAGCAATTTTGCAGAGAATCCAGATGCGAAGGAGAATGAACTAAAGTTGTTCCCTACAGCTTTCTGCAATTGACATTTCTCCTTAAATAGGCTAAGGGAGTGGCCAATTAGCCCCAAGCCTTACTTTCAAGGAGACTTCCTCCTGAGGGGCCACTCCTGCCTTTTGACAGCTCTGCGTGCCAGTGCATTGAGAAGAGGCTCCTCCTCTTTGTCCTCTTCACTTAAAGGAGCTTCTGGAGGTTCTGAAGGCCCTGGCTGAATCCCCGCCTCTGGCACATCTTCTCCAGCCTCCTCACTGTCCGACTCGAGCGCCAGCTGCACACGCTGCTGGCGCAGCACCACACCAGCCTCCTTGTTGTTGGAATCGCTACAATACGCATAGGCCGCTGACGGGCCACAACACAAACAATGGGGGAAGCCAGAGTCCCTTAACAACCATTTGACTAACTTAACAAATGCAATGATTCACTTAACAACTCTGGCAAGAAAAGTCATAAAATGTGGCAAACTCGCTTTTAACACCAAATGTTTCAGTTGGCAACCTAAATTTTGGGCTCAATAGTGGTCGTAACTCAAGGACTACCTGTATCAGGTGCCCAGGACCTGAATTTTGATCACATAACCAGTGGGGATGCTGCCATGGTGGCAGATGTGATCTCATGCGTCTCTTATTTCAGTGCCATTGTACCTTCAAACAGTTGCTAAATCAATGGCTGTAGGTTGAGGACCACCTGTATTCCACAAAATGGTGAGAATCACCTGGCTTAATGAAATGTATGAACTCCTCATTAGTCTTTTGAGCTAAAACCAGTAATGGCTGTATCTTCACCGGCTCTTGACGTTCTTTAAGAGCTGGGGTGGCGCAGTGGTTAGAATCCAGTCCTGCAGGATACTTCTGCTAAGTGCTGGCTGCCTGCAATTTGGCAGTTTGAATCTTGCCAGACTCAAGGTTGACTCAGCCTTCCATCCTTCCAAGGTGGGTAAAATGAGGACCCAGATTGTTGGGGGAAATCTGCGACTCTGTAAACTGCTTAGAAAGGGCTTTAAAGCACTATGAAGCAGTATATAAATCTAAGTGCTACTGCTATTGTCCTTCCTTCCTTCCTTCCTTCCTTCCCTCCCTCTGCCTACTGCCAGCAGTTCGATCTTGACCAGCTCAAAGTTGACACAGCCTTCCATCCTTCTGAGGTCGGTAAAATGAGGACCCAGATTGTTGGGGGCAAATATGCTGACTCTGTAAACAACTTAGAAAGGGCTGTAAAAGCAGTGTGAAGCAGTATATAAGTCTAAGTGCTATTGCTATTTATATGTTTGAAAGCACTGAAAAACACAGAGAGGTGGCCAAGGGACCTGATGCTAATCCTTTTATGGGGCTGGAGGTTGACTCTTATAAATATCTATAAATATCATAAGCCTACGAGTCTGCTCAGAAAGCAGCGAGGGTAGGGTAGGAGATGGGGAGGTGGGTCTTTCCTTGCAATGAATAAGGACCATCCTCTTCTATTGGGTGATGTCCTCTGGACCAGATCCAGCCCTTTGAACTGAACCTGGGCTCAGACAGAGGGGCTTTACTCTTTCAGCTCCTTAGGTTCTTCCCCCTGCTTGTAGACGCTGACCGTCACCTTCCCAGTTTCAGAGCCCCACTTGTTCTTCACAAGGATGCTGAACCTCCCAGTGTCCTCACTGCTGACGTTCTCAATGGTTATTGTGATCACGGTGCCCTTCACTTCCATCTTGTACCGATCTTTGAAGGTAATGACCTTCTCATTCTTGTACCAGGTGATTTCTGGGTAAGGATCTCCAGAGATGATGCAGGTCAAGCACAAAGTCTGTTTTGGAAATAAAGAAAAGATTCATTGGAGGACTTCAGATTGGACAGTGAAAGGCAATGCAAGTAGAAGGCAGATACACCCGGGGGGTACAGGTAGGACAGTGCCTCTTCGATACCTGCTATCTTCGGCTTGGCGCCTTGCTGGCATCCTGCCATCAAAGGCTAGGAGGGGGGGAGTGAGACATGGGTAAAAAGGTGAAGGTAAAGGTTCCCCTCGCACATACGTGCTAGTCGTTCCCAACTCTAGGGGGCAGTGCTCATCTCTGTTTCAAAGCCGAAGAGCCAGCGCTGTCTGAAGACGCCTCTGTGGTCATGTGGCTGGCATGACTCAATGCCAAAGGCGCACGGAACGCTGTTTACCTTCCCACCAAAGGTGGTTCCTATTTTTCTACTTGCATTTTTTACGTGCTTTTGAACTGCTAGTTTGGAAGAAGCTGGGACAAGGAACAGGAGCTCACCCTGTTACGCGGCACTAGGGATTTGAACTGCTGAACTGCTGACTTTTTTTTTTTAATTTGATTTATATGCCGCCCTTCTCCGGAGACTCAGGGCGGCTTACAATGCGTTAAGCAATAGCCTTCATACTTTTGTATATATATACAAAGTCAGCTTATTGCCCCCACAAACTGGGTCCTCAATTTACCTACCTTAGAAAGGATGGAAGGCTGAGTCAACCTTGAGCCTGGTGAGATTCGAATTTACAGTAATTGCAGACAGCTGGTGTTAATCCCAATGCTTTTAGTCTGCTGAGCCACCAGGCCCTTTTTTGATCAACAAGCTCAGTGTCTTAGCCCCTGAGTCACCGCATCCCTGAGACATGGGAGGGGGGAACAAATGGGCAATCGATCTGCATGTATATGTGATGGGAAATTGGGAGGGGGGAATGACAGCTCGACGAAGAATAGGGAGCTCGAAACCAGTTTGTGTCAACAATCAAGGCCACACTCCCTGAGAAAGAATGTGGATTTTCCTAAACATCTCAGCGTTCTCAAAACACCTAGGCAGACTCTTATTGGCCGAACATAGATAGGTCATCGGGAGAGGGCTGAGATGCGGGGAAACTTTCTGTATCATTTGAATGCAGGAAATTTAGTTCTAGCCTGACACTACTCCAACCAGCATCTTTTATTAAAGCTATCACTTCAATCAAATGGAGTCCAGGGTCTTTCTTTCCAAAGAGATCAGACTAGGATAGGTCTGACAGTATCAATGTATGGGCAAACAGCCCACTTTATGCCCTCTAGGATCCTTGTCCCTCTTACCCCATGCTAGGGTATTCCTATGAACCCCCAAAGGGCACCTACAATTCCCAGAAATTAAATTAAAAATATTAAAATATATTAAAATATTAAAAGAAAAGTATTTCTTTTTAGAAAGTTTACAACGCTACAAGATTGCCATGTTAGCATTCTTGCATGGGTTTTCATGGGTCTCACACGTGATCTTGTGGGAACCAGGGGGTGATTGTTGGAAACATTGAGGATTTTATACTTTGGGGAAGAAGAGGAGAGACATCTGGAGTTGTGCAATGAATTTGGAGCCCGGAAGGGTTGCACAAAGGTACACACAAGTGGAACGTCACAACGCCTGCCTTATCAGTTGCTAATAGAAATGGTAATGCAAGAGGTCCCTTATATAATTTAGGGTTCCCACAGCAGTTATTCCCCACTTGCACAGCTGGAGGCCATTCAAGACAATTCATTACCTTACTTTCCATGATCGTTGCAACATCTGGAAGGCCACGAACCACTTTGGCACGGACTGCAGAGGGAGAGTAGACATCATGATTAGCTATTCAGTTTTTAATCCCACTTTTTGGCAACAGTCTTTCTTTCTTTCTTTCTTTCTTTCTTTCTTTCTTTCTTTCTTTCTTCTTTCTTTCTTTCTTTCTCTTTCTTTCTTTCTTTCTTTCTCTCTTTCTTTCTTCCTTCCTTCCTTCCCTTTCTCTCTCTCTCTCTCTCTCTCTCTCTCTCTCTCTCTCTCTTTCTCTCTCTCTCTTTCTTTATTTTCCTACCTTTATTATTTTCACAAATAACTCAGGGTAGTGAACATATCCAACATACCTTTCTCCTCCTATTTTCCTCACAACAGCCCTGCAAGGTGGGCTGGTCCAAAGTCACCCAGCCAGTTTTCATAGCTAAGGCAGGATTCATGCAACAGAGTTTACCCGATTGTTGTGAAGTTGTTTTAAAATAAATAAACTCTTACCTGTCACTTATATATGTTAGTTATTTTTATATTTGTGGACCTTTTAGTTTAAAGCAGTGTTTCTCAACCTTGGAAGCTTGAAGATGGGTGGACTTCAACTCCCAGAATTCTGGGAGTTGAAGTCCACCCATCTTCAAGCTACCAAGGTTGAGAAACATTGGTTTAGAGGTTCCTTGTTTTATATTATGATGTTACAATTAACTGAAGTATATCAGTTATTTTATTCCCTGTCTGCACTCTGCTTAGTAATAAGGATATAATAACTACTTGTATTGTTATTATTACTACTACTGAAATAGTCTGTGTCCTGGGTCTATGCAATGCACTGAACTATTTTTACACAACACAATGAACCTATACAAGGTTAAGACTAACCTAGTTTAGCCTCCTTGTGTGAATGAAGACACTAGCTTTTAAGGGGACGTTGCCTGACCCAGCTATATATATTTCTTTGCTTACTACTCAGTGTTGACTACTGGATAAGCCCCTGCAGTTTTCTTGGCAAGGTTTTTGGAAGTGGTTTGCCATTGCCTGCTTCCTAGGGCTGAGAGACAGTGACTGGCTCAAAGTCACTCAGCTGGCTTTGTGCCTAAAGCAGGATTAGAACTCATGATCCCCTGGTTTCTAGCCTAGTTTCTCAACCATGACACCAAAGACGCTCTTGAACCAACCACTAAGGATGCCTAAATAGTTTAGAGATTAATCATGTGAATGCTGCAGGATGCCTTATATTGCTAAGATCAAGGCGTGGAGCAGATTAATTGCCTTGGAAGCAAGTGAGTGTTATTAGAAGCTTTTAAGCAGAACCAGTGTACAATTCAATCACAGCAGAATTTTTTTTTCAGAGGCCAAAGATTGGATCTATTCAATTCTATGACTGTTTCATGCAATGGCAAAAGAAGAATTTGATAATACTCATAGGGATGAAAGGGACTTCAGAGATCTTCTAGTCCACTCCCTTACCCTTGGCAGAAATCCTTATACTATCCCACTCAAAGGGTTGTCTAATCTTTTCTTGAAAATTTCTTGCTTGTTTTTATGTACAAGGTACTTAGTTACAAACTAAGTAACTGCATTCACACAACATGTGAACATGTTAAGCTGGGTTGATGTTCATCTCAGTCTGCTTCTTTGCAATTTGGGATGTTGCATTAATCCAACCCATTAGATTATTTTGCAATTTGCTGTTTTCTGTGAACCTAGGATGTTGGGTAATTCGGTAACTGGGTTGAAACGGGTTGTGTGAAGTGAATACATTTCTTCAATTGGGGAGTGGGACTGACAGATGGGAAGGAACGGCGTGAAATCTGAAGTTCACACCAGGTATTTTTCACCAAAAGTAACTCAAGCATCTTTGGAGGTGCATTTTTGCCTGATATGACACGCTTATGAAATAAATGCCCGAGGAGCATTTATTTCCTTCCGATTTGTGCAGCTTCCAACTCTGTAGAAGCAGCAAATTTGAAAAGACACCTTGGATTCAAAGTAAACCAGGGTACACTGATTGACCAAAACAATTGCTACCGATCTGCCTTCCATGGAGGACCTGTATACTGCACGTGTCAAAAAGAGGGCTGTGAAAATATTTACAGACCCCTCGCATCCTGGATATAAACGGTTTCAACTCCTACCCTCAAAACGACGATATAGAGCACTGCACACCAGAACAACTAGACACAAGACACAAGGACAGTTTTTTCCCAAACTCCATCACTCTGCTAAACAAATAATTCCCTCAACACTGTCAAACTATTTACTAAGTTAGTAAATTAATTAATCTTCTCATCGTTCCCACCACCCATCTCCTTCCACTTACTGTATGACTGTATGACTGTAAATTTGCTTGTATCCTTACGATTTATATTGATATTGTTTCCTGATTGCTTATTTCTACCCTATGACTATCATTAAGTGTTGTACTTTATGATTCTTGATGAATGTATCTTTTCTTTTATGTACACCGAGAGCATATGCACCAAGATAAACTCCTTGTGTGTCCAATCACACTTGCCAATAAAAATTCTATTCTATTCTATTCTATTCTATTCTATTCTATTCTATTCTAT